GGAATTAGAGATACAAAGCCGCAGAGTCGGCCGAATTCCTTCGATAAAGCTGGAAGATTTGCTCGGATATGTGTATTCTGATGTGGCGAAATGTTTTGATAGTCGCATAGTCAGACTTGCTCGGAATAGTAATCAGCGTCTTGCTATCTCTCTATTGTCGTGGAGAACGCTTTATGTTTCGCGATGGTAGTGTAGGACATAAAATAGTGTAATTGAGTCTTAAGTCGTATTATTAATGCCGGATAGCACTGCATTTACATTGTTATATTCATTTGTGGATGTCTTATTTGGAAACTAACTATTTGTTGCATGTGTCTCTGGCAGCCCGTAGAAGCCTTGAAAAGTCATTGGTTACGTATACCCCATTTCATGAGTGTCCATCATGGTAGAATGGCAGCGGGTTATCTTGTAATATATAAAAATTCCCCATATCGACATAGGACATTATAATTTAGAAGGATCGGTCAATGCCACGTAGACAGAGCCATATTTTGATTTGGCTTTTTGTACGCTAAAGATTCATTTTGTACTTGCTAAAAGATCTTTTATTTAGGAAAGTTAATTTGTATACAAAAAAGAAAGCGCTGCAAACAAGTTTTTGCTAAATTTACACCCGATTCATTATAACCAACCTTACAGACTGACACAAAAATGCCACTTGCTGATCAGCTGTTCACCTTAGTAGACGTCAAAGCGTGATGGATACTAGTGAAATAGGATATAGATTAAATTGCAATAGCACTATGTAAATTTGGTTACAAACAAATCGTATACTTGCTCCTTCTACCCTGTCCGAATCTGATGCTATCGACTGAATTTGCTGACAACTAGCACACAGGGGTCTGAAAGTCAAATGTACCGCTTGTACTCCATCGTCCTTCCGCGACATCTAGCAGTATTGACACTCACTATTAGAAGCATTATCACTGAAATCCCGTTAGCGTATGGAGGGGGTACCGTGCTTCCGTGTCATGCGTATTTACGTACAGGTCGTCACTGTAATACTTCACACAAACTTCGGATTTCAAAAATTTCTATTTTCTATCTCTTCGACGGTACCCTACTAGTAAATTCTTTGTCTGAAACTTTAAATCAACCACCATATATAACTTATTTGTTAAAAACAAATTATTTCCCGAATGATTCAGATAAATAAATATTGCTTCATCATGGTCGAACACAGACAACAAGAAACTGAACAATTTGGCAATTAAAGTGTACAAGATTAGGTTCCTGAAATATATTTTTCTGCAGATGAGGAAGAATTATTGAGAGGGAAAGTGATGACGAATCCTTTCTTCGCGTCAGTGAATCTTGTATTATATACTCGTATAATAGATATAAAAAATAATGGACAAAAAGAAGCAAACGTGGATTCGAGCAGAAAAGACAGGTAACTCGGGCGATATGACCCCAAATGAACGGACATATGCAACTACAAAAGTAGATACACATGCCCATACATCCGTATACGGGTGTAACCTGATTAAACGGAGATGGAGAGGGAACAAAACGACACACGAAGTCACCAACAAGAGCCAACCTACACATTGTAGTATAATGGCCAGAAGACCTCGAATAATCAAGGCGACATCTAACCACAACCACGCGGCCGGTTATAGTCACTTGACGTGGTGCTTCAAGCCCAAAGGATTGTTATACAGGGCATTCATCCTACCATGGATTTATCGAAAACCACTGATTAAAAGAAAAAACGCCGAGACACGTCAAAAGATTTGTCAAGAGGGACAACCTTTTAACCAAAAACTACTTCACCTCCCTTCATCCTCGGCCCCCCTTAAATATTTTAAATGACAAGTGGTATCGAGTAAAGCTTGTTAGAAAGACCTTTCGAAGTCATTTATTATGATGTTTGGCTTTTTAAAATAAGCAAATTCGTTTTCGAGAAAATTAGAAGAATCTTCATTTATCTTAATTTGTTCAGATAGAAAACAAAAACGCACGAAACTATAACTTTTTATTTCGATAAGTGTCATGTTTAACGCCAGAAATCCGGGGAAGATAACTTTGCCTAGGTATGTTTTGGACCATGTTACTAAATTTACTCAAACTGGATCTGTTGCAAATGAAAAACGTGATCATTGGAGAGTTTTGGATGAAGCCGCTTAAGTTGAAATTTTGGGTCATTTTGGAATACATCCTAATACTTCATTGAGCAAAATCCTTGCTGCGACTGGTATTCCATTAGGCTCTGTACACACAGTTACTTAACTTCAACAATTTCATCCATTCAAAATGAACATATTGCAAGAGTTAACCGAAGATACTTTCGACAGGCGAGTAGAGTTTTGTAAACAAATGACTGCAGCGATTAATGATAATGCCAGTATCTGCTTCAGTGATGTATGCACATCTTAACTAAATGGATTTGTTAATAAGCATAACTGTAGGTATTGGAGCTGTGGAAATCCTCATGCTTTTGTAGAAAGGCATACACAGTACCCCCAAAAATCTAGTGTATGGTCAGGTATTTTAGGAAACAAAGTGATTGGGCTATTGTTTATTAATGGAAATTTGAACGGAGATATTTATTTGGATATGTTGGAAAATACCTTTAATTCGCTTGTGACTGAATACCAGATCATAGAGAATGGAAAACTTACACTTGATGAGGCTGAAATATATTTCCAGCAAGACGGTGCTCATCCTCACTATGTTCTTCCGGTTCAGCATTGACGTCGAGTTTCCAGATACATGGATAGGGCGAAGAACAGAATATATATAGAATGGCCTGCTAGATCTCCATTAGACTTTTTTCTATGGGGTCATTTGAAATCCATTGTGTTTACTCCCCAACCTAAGAGTTTGTATGAACGTCGCCAACGCATCATCGAAAGCTGCCATGATATCCCACAAATGTTTTTGAAAGTTTCCGTCAGGAATTTGAACATCGCCTATATCATTGTTTAGCCCATAACAGGCAACATTTTGAGCATTTGTTGAAATAAAAAGTGATGTTTTCATGTGTTTTTATTTTCTGGATAAACTAAGATAAATAAAGGTTTCTCTAATTTCCTTGAAAACGAATCAACCGATTTTAAAATATCAAACGTCAAAATAAAGGACTTCGGAATACCTTTCGAATAAGATATAACTCTATACTCCTTGTCATTTGTAATTTTTAAGGGGATGACCCTGGGGGGCAGAGGGTAAAATGGGGTGAAGTAGTTTCTGGTTAAGAAGTTGTCCTTCTTAACAAATCTGTGGACGGGTCTCGGCGTTTTTCGTTTAATTAGTGGTTTTCGATAAATCCAGTCGAAAGTTTTCTAATGAACACCTTGAATAATCTTGAAGCTGCGACTCAAGGTCAAATCCAAGGTCAATATTGAACCTTGATTTTTTCATCAATATTTCGTGGTAGGAAGTTTTCAAATGGACCCTGTATATATATATTTCACTTACGTGCCGTACACTTGACTGTATTTAACAAATAGTCAGCCTTGCCAGACAATAAATGTGGATATAGTGACTAATTGGGTATGCAACAATAATATAATGATAAAAAACTGCTTTTTTTGCTGACTGTCCATATCCATTTTTGAAGTACCAATTCTTAGGTCATGCCAACACTTCAAGTTTATTTCCAAGACATAGAAAGCCAAAGTTTTCTCGTTTTTTCAAATAATCCTCGTGCCTTTTTAGTAACTTTTGTTGGAACTATCATTAAAGATGTCATTGACGTATAGGCACTCAGATTTCAACTTTAAATTTTTTATTAGCACGTTTTTCTTATTTAACTTAATTCTCGGCGATATCTTAGTATTATCTGGATATTAATAAGCTTTAGCAAGATCGGCTGAAAGGTTGAATTTTTACGAAAAAAGAAATAAAGTTTGTTACCCTGTATCATGAAAGCGTATTTTTCGAACCCACGTTTATATCTACTTCTTTTCTTAAAGCTACCGAAGATAACTTTTGTCAATCAATCGCAGAAAATTCTTGGAACATCCAACAGATTAGGCCGAGTCGTACTTTACTCAGCGCTCGTTCGTAGCAGCTAGTGTAACTGAGCGTAACCATTCTCTACTGTAAGTTAGCTTGCCAGCTCTGGTTAACCAGGAACCAGACTACGTCGAAACAGCTAATGGGAAACTCTTTTTGAAGATGAAATTAGCAAGGGTTAGTTAGGTAGTTGTGCTTGCCAAAACAGAACACGAATAATGAGCTAGAAAGCTATTACTAGGATATTCAAGAATAATAGTGCAACTTCGAATGCACTTTACGTTTATGAATGGTCCAGAAGATGGCTGCTGCTCATGAACTTGGATACTGTGGAAAAAACAATCCAAAGATCAGTGATATCATCGGGAACCAGGAAATCCCCTCCGTCTCCAGTCAAATAGATTTAGGAGTTGTTGCGTCGGATACTCTATCATGGTTCGAGCATATAGATTAAGGCCAAAAGGATTCTTTGCCTTATCGAAAAATCCTTCAAGGGCTGTGACAATTCTTGTACACGTAACATGTAAGGCTAATTATGGAATTCGCTGGACCTGTCTGGTGTTCAATGCTACAACGTGACCGAGACCTGTTAGAAAATATACAAAAGAGAGCTACCACATTCCATACGGTATCTAATAACCTTGTTACAATGAGAGGCTGAACTTATTCAATTTAACTGACTTCTTCGATAGACTCTTACGTGGGGACTTGGAAATCACTTGCCGAGCTTTGCATGGTATGTTCGGCACTGACATATCCTCACTTTTCCGTCGCAACACCAACCACCTGCAAGGCTACAACTATAAACTGATGAAAGAAACGTTTCGAACGACACCTCGCCAGTGTCTCCTGTCTAACCGTTGTTCATGAGTCCACTGCTAACAGATTCAAGGATCGTTTCGATATATGCTTACACAATGAACTCTAGTTTTTTGTGGCATTATCTTTATTGTTTTTTTATGTTCAATTTCTTATCTTTGTTTCTTTACTCAACTCCTCTATTATACATAATAATAATAATTTCCAATTTTTTTCAGGTCCAGACCTACTTGCACCGTACACCATTAGGTCTTCCCAACAAAGTATGGATTTCTGATGACTGTCATCAGCTTAAAGTTTTGTGTAAGTGCCAAGAAGTAAGCAGTTGAGAAAAAATTGCTCGAAATGAATGGAAAATTGATCTTTGAGTTTTTGACTCAAAATTACACCAAAATGTGGGAAATCGGACGAAAAGATTGTGCAAGCAATTTTCTTCAGCCTAACATACCTTGACACATATTCTGTATAAAGCTCTAATTTACAGTGATAAACAGTGCTTTTTAAAAAGTTCCTGGGTAATGGTGGATGAATTTTGTATCTAAGGGTCACAGCTGAAAATTTCAAGATAACAGTCGGGCGCCATTTTGGAATATTTTTTCAAATATTATGGGGAGTGTGATACTTCATTTGAAAGCTCCTTATGAGTACTTTATGACTCTAGATCATTATATTCCGAAATGGTGAGCTAGTAGGTTGTCGGACTTGAGCGTTTTTGTGCATTAAGTCGGTGATAACTCCCAATATCAACCAAACATCAAAACGCTATGGAATGCTACATGAATCTCCTTCCATTGGAAGAGTATATAAGAATATGTAACTAAATATGATATATTTCAATTTGAATGTCTCATTTTCCCCCGTCCTTCCAAAAGAAGAATACTGATTTATATACTAGCACGTTTTGATGATGAGTTGCCGAGCGATTTAATATATAAGATCGTTCATCTTTCACAGCCTACGACTCCGCCGCTTTGACAGACAGTGATTTTATATTCCGAGGTTATAAAGCAAAATAAGGGTTTATATTGTACAATAATGAAGAATTAAAACATACGTCATTTGATGCGGACAGTAATGGAGTTCCTGGAACATGAAACCAAAGGATAAGGTTCAGGAGTTAAATTGTTATATTTATGTTAAAATAAGCTGTTCATGTACGAACCAATTTCGTCATCGCGAATTTTAGCTTGCCACCTTGACATGTTCAAAAAAAAGTACCTAGGCGAGGATATATTTGAAAAGCACTATATGAATATTCCAGGAAGCACCTTCGAATCCGCTCGGAAAAACATTCTGATCCGTTTTTACTTTCCACGCCACTGGCGAGGAAGTACGGTAATCGCGACATCTACACCACAAAAACCAGGTCACTCATTTCTGTCAATCTGTCTGTCCACAAATTATTGGCCCGTCTATATATTCGAAAGTATTATTCGGATTTTGATGAAATTCTTACACTAAGTTGCTACTATGACAAAACCTTTATAGTTTTTGCAAGTCCATCCAGTCGCGGCTGATTTAAAGTTAAAAAACGGAAAAAACAAAAATCGCTCGACCCTATACTGCGGTTTCAGCAGCTCAGGATCATTTTCGGAAAATTTTCTATATGGATCAAAATTGGGGTCAATGTTTTGGCGTCAGTATATTTATACCCTTTCAACCTCGATAATATACGTACCTATTAGACATATTACAAACATCATAGATTTTCCCGTGGATTTATTTGCCCTTAGATATATATATATATATATATTTTCAACATATGCGTCGCATGCCACTCAACGAACATCCATCCACCTACATGGTGGGATGGCGAGTACCGCAAGTGCCGAGGCTAGACACTGCAACATTACCACGTTTCCGGATGGTCGGTTCCTTTATCATGACAGGTCGCAGCGTTGTCAATTGTGTGAGGGTTCTGGACTAACAGTTAGGGCCTATTTGGCTGACTAGATCGTTTAAATTCATGTTATACATGTTTTCAGCTAACTTTTTGTGAGAGTGTCTATCTTGTGCCAAAATCCTTCATGAACTGATAACAGCGTTGCGTGGAAAGCGCAGGGTGAACTCACTTGACATCATCTTTTGCATCAGCTTATTCAATAACTACGAAAAAAGTCAATCGAGATATGTTTCCGAGCGGATGAGAAGATACTTCCTGAACTAAAAAGAGATTTTGAGAGAGGTCCAAGGTAGTCATAATGTCTGTAAAATATTGAACATACATATGAGCTGAGTTATAGATCCGGCTATGTGCTTTCTGAGTGTTTTATTCACATTTTCGCTATGAAACCCAGATTTTCAGCTTTTCCAAAAAATACAGGAAAAAAACACCCCACCCTCCCTACGATAAAACTATTTATATAATAATAATAATAATCTTCTGCTATCCTGAAACCGCATGTGACCCTGCCAGTAACCACCATTGGGAAAAAAGGGGATTTTTTAGCTCTCGCTGGAATATCAGTAACCCTTGCATGACAACATGGCTTTGATTGAATGATATTATTGTGTTTATTGGAAAAATAGAAGCTATTATTCAAAACAATAAAACAGTAAAATACCATTCAAAAAAAAAAGATGAAAATCAGAATTATTGACCGAATTCGATAAAAGTGGTTTCTGCCAAAACAGTGGACGATTGCCAGGAACTAATATATTTTATCGTGATATTGTTACCGTTGTATATATTATTTATATATTTAATAACTGTATAAGTGCTTTCCAAATAATACATAATCATATAGGTGCACATATAGAATTATTCCCTATCATCAACGGCCATTGTATATTTTGCTAATTTTTAAATGTTGTTATTCGTAGCATTAGTACAGAATCAGACCTTTACTTCAGACTACAAGTGTAAACGTATTCCAAGCATTTCGGTCAACAGGGAATATGCATGTTTTTTGTATTCTCTTTCCATTATTTAATAAAAATTAACATAATACCGTAAACGCCGCATTTTTCGCGCGCGTCGCAGTGACGTCACAAGTCATGGTTTGTCATTTTATTCTATGTTTGGCTAATTTGCTCTCATGATTTTCTGTCAAATCCTAAAAGAAACCATGCAGTCTATTGTTGTTTTCCTGACGTTGTCTTGGCGGCGAAATTCAAACGGTACTATTCGTCATTATTCGTCAGATTGGTCCGGTGGACCATTGCTCTTAGTTAAAAGTCTCGTCGATCTGTTAGTCTATCAGGTCTGGCTACCCAGATACCAAACATGTTTAAGGGGACAAGGGAAAGAAGGAAAGAAAGGAAGGAAGAAATAGAGCAAAGAAAAGAAGTAAATCATTTGAAATAGCTCAAGCATTATTACTTTGCCTACTCGAATTATATTGTAACTCAAAAAAATAATTTTGATTGGTTTCGTATACTGAAATAATTTTGGCTGGTCTGAATTTACAATTTAATTTTGATCACAGTGCCAGGCGCGGCCTGGAATGTTTGCGAACTTGGTCGACTGTGTAGTCTACTGAAATTCAAACGGTGTTGACATCTGTGTTGAAAAAGGGGCGTAACCTATTGTATTTAGATATGATGATGACAGCGTTAAATGATTGGATGCTCACATATCGTGACATCAGAGCAACAGCGTTGCGTATCGATATTTTAAATTTACCGCGTATTTTTTCCATTTTATTAATCAATACGCGTAATTTTAAGCGCATAAGTAACATGGTTATTGGTGGCTTTCGGCAGTACATTAAGAAAAAAATGATATTTGAATCATATGCGTATTTCCTATTGATATTCATATGTTTTACAAAAATGAGTACAATGTACAAAGCAATAGAATTAGTTGCATAAATGTTTGACAGTATTTTCAGATATGACAGGCTTGTGGCTGTTTTCTTCCATTTTACAAACTTATTAGCAGTATTACATATGTGTTTGGTTCTGATGTCAATAGAATATCCGTAGAGTAAGATTTATAATTGGTACTTACATAGTTCGAAGTTAGTTATAGCTGTAGCGAGCCTATGTAGGAAAGGGTCTTCGTAAGAATAATAGTAGTGGTCTTCAGATTTATGAATGAAATGAGCTTTAATTATTTACCTACGTATGTTTCTTAGTTAGGCTATGTTTTGTATAAAACTGTGTCACAGAAAACAATCTAGTTTAGTAATTTAATTATTCATAGTTTTGTAAGGTTTTCTGAATAATACCTATTTGTAGAGCATCTAAAATGTACGTCAATCTTGCTTATGAAAAGTGTGCTGTCTGTACTAGAACATAAATACCTTGGAACATTGTTATCATGCGAGTTAGATAATTCCTTTGCAGATCAAAGTATTTGAACAAAGATGTTTAAACAATTTCAACTTATCTCTCCCAAATCCGTATACGTACTATGAAAAAATAAAAACTATTGGCTATAATAATCAGTTATGGACCGTTTCAATTTTCAGCTCATCCAATAGCTAACTCGCATTGTTGCAATTGCCACGGAAACTCAGGTGAACTTGTAATATATATTTTTTAAGACTGCATCAATTCTTTTATTATAAATGTCACCCTAATACACACTTTAAAATATTTAAGTACAACCCAGACCAAGAGAATGACTAACACCAGCTTGATAGGCAACTCGACACATATACCATCTAATTCCATAGAATGAATAAGTATCTCTTACGGATTTCGGTTTACCAAAACGAACTACATATATCCATTTCAATTTTGAGAAGCGTAAGATAGATATGTTCACTTTAAAAAGATATTTTTTCTGTGACGTAAAAAAAATTTTACATTTTATCTCTGTTGACGGGTAAAAAAATGTCACTTCTTATGAAATTACTTTTATTATCATATTGTATAAACGATTTAGCTGGCAATAATTTTTGTGACGCTACTTTGGCGGCTTCCACTAATTCCGGTGGAATCAAAGAAAACTAGGAATCAGACATTTTTTCTTTATATTATCAAAAATAACTTCTAAGCAACCACTAAGTTCACAATTTTTAAATCAAATGTCAAAATGAGATTGACAGATATTTGATTAATCTAAACTTAATTTTAATGTGAAACGGTGAAAACATAATCGACCATGATGTGACGTCGCGCAAATTGTATGTCACTATTAAATATTTATAAAAAACTCCTAATCAACGAGGTTATCGTTTTGCCGTTTTGCTGAAAAAATGAACAACCCTAAACGTTGTATTCGTAAAAGCAGAAAACACAAATTTGCCCAAAACTGACACACTGATGGTTGCCAACGTTGTTGCCTGCAATCCAGAATTTCTGCACTGCTGAGCTGAGGATCATCAAGAATTCTATGTAAGGACAATACATCTGATATGATAGAAATAAAAAGGAACAATAAGTAATACACTTACATAATCTTTCTTTTCAGAAGTCATTCAAAACTAAGCTCATGCGTCATAACCTTTGAATAATTCTATCTAATATTGTATCTCTTCTCACACATCCGCAAGGGAATCGTACGGTAATGATGTCGTGGGTTACGTCCTACTATACTCAAACGAGACGATAAAATCTGCACATTAAAATGTAAAATCTGACCCAAACAGAAGGTACGTTCCATGCAATACGCAGTTTTGCTATATTTCTTTCCCTGGCATACCTTACACCTTTCCTGGGATCTTTATTGATGTGTTTTTACATTTTTGGACGATACAATAACGATAACTGATATACTTTCCATTTAAACGAAACACTATTTCACGAGTATCCATCACGTTTTGACATCTACGGAGGTGAAGAGCTGATCAGCAGGTAACATCTACATATGTATTAGTCTGTAACGTTGGCAATTTTGAATCTGATGTAAATCCAGTAAAGAGGCGTCTTTTTGTATGCAAATGAACTTTTCTAAATAAAAGAGTCGCTAGCAAGTACAAAATGAGTGTACAAAAAACCAAAACAAAATACCGCTCTGTCTGCCCGGTGGTGATGGATCCGTCAGAATTATGTGCCGTTTGCCGACATGGGGAACTTTGAAATACTACTAAAGAATCAGCTGTTATTCTACCCTAATGGATACTCGTGAAAAAGACATTATTAGGACTCATGTTTATATGTTTAAAGGTTTGAGAGGTTATGCTACTGGCAAATGCTATTGAGAAATGGTATCATGTCAGATCACATTAATATATGGGCCAAACATGGCGCACAGCGTTTTCGCGTGTCTGCGAAAAATATATTTTTGAATTAAAGTATTATGATCTATTAGGTCTGAAAAAATATAGTATTTATTTTTTTGGCATAACAAAGCAAATATTAACTGTTTGAGGCCTTAAAATAAGTTTGGTTTGTTGATACGTGCGAGTTTATTTTACATAAACATCAGGCTGAATAGGATCTGTTTGCTTCCCACCTCTGTGACCATGACCAATTGCATACACCCTTGCTTCATGCTTGTTAGCAATCATTATTACGGTAAAGGTCTAGATGGAGACAATGGATAGCTAAGAAGCGGACATAGTCTAGTGGAAAACTCAATATGTAGCGAGGAACTACTACTACTACACTGATACTTTTGAGCAGTTTGCCCAAGCTATGCCCAAGGTAAGTAGCATGATGACCACTTGGTGCCATCTGATTGACGAGTCGCCTACGTGGGTGAGCGACACTTGTCCGTTCATCGGACGGGCTGTCATTTCAGAGATGATGGGGAGCGTCGGGACTGTTGGAGGTCGTTGTCATCTAATCCGGAAAAAAACATTTGTGGATATTATCAAAATGAGCTGTGAATGATATTACATAAAGCTGTACTTTAACGTGTAAAATGCTGAAGTGAGCCGCAGGCACGAAATCTATTAGTGGAGTGTCGTTATATCAGAGGTTGAGAATCAATTATTTTCTAGTGCCCCATAAATCGTTCAAGATGTTTGTCTCAAAGGAAGAGGTAGCTGTGATTAAAAATTGAAGAACAAGGGTGGCGTCGACGTCGTCTGCTGCATTAGGGCCTCTGAGAATGAATTAATTTATGACAATTCTGAAGAGCGTGGGGTGGTATCAACAATTGGAAATTGAAGACCGTTAAGGGTTGACTGCATTAGTGCTTTTGAGAGCTAATGTCCTTAAAGGAATTCAAGAGCGGTCGAGCAAAATTATCCATTGCATTGCCCCCAATCCTCTACCGACCCCCACCCCCGTAAGTCTCCAGCACAAGCAAAGTGGCGTTATTGCCCACTTCCAGAAGCACTGCATTAGAAATAAAAGAGACCACCTGGGAAGCATTCTTAAACTCCAAAGACCAAAAGTCAGATAAAGATTTTGTATAGACTTTTTAATATGTAGTATTTGATACTTGATCCCATCTTCTTCAATATCTTTTTTGAATCCAGTTCAGATTCTTTAACTCGTTAAGTTACACGTTTGGTAAAAGCAGAATGAATTGTACAATAAGTCCTTTGTATTCATTTTGAGTCACGAGGTCCGTGCCAGAACAATCATAAAGCGCAAACTGAAACGTTCCATGCGTCGTGCTAGCGTTTCACCAGAATTCTACAATGTCATTAGGGAAAATAATTCACTGAGCTTCTTATCCAAAACGATCCAAACATTTAAACGCATCTGTTTGTATCAGAACAGGAATAACACACTAATAGAATAGAACAGAATAGAGAAATGCTTTATTCGTGTAAGCCTGTGAACAGGAATCAAAACGTCAAAAAAATCGATGATATGAACTACTAACATATTACGTGAAAAATCGGGATACAGAACCACATACAAGAATATCAAGTTACCCGCACAAAAATTTATTTATGCTATAAAATGCCTTATTTAGCAGAATGTTCCTAAGTTCACTTTTAAACAAAGATAATCTGGTAATCTGCTTAAATCTAAGGGTTGCTTATTACATGGTACTACATCAATACTATTGACTCCATAAGCACTGAGATTTAAATTTTGAATATGAATATGGTTATTATATCTAATATTGTATTGATGACGATCAATATTGACGGTAACGTTAAAATGCTATTATCTTTAGATACTAGTCTACAGCTATCCAGTAGATTAAGTCCAGATACGAATCTGATCAGCCTCTTTTGTAGAATGAATATTCTCTGTATGCCACAAGAAAATTTTCCAAATATATAATCAAGTACCTCATGTGACAGTATGCCATAGAAAAATAAGTATCTAGGAGATACCTATGACTAACTAGTCTCCGTAGGTTTCTGAATGCATAATCCATGTGTCATTTCCAAGAAAGCGTTTCGTCCATGTAGAGACCCAGTAAATTTGTGGCTTTCTGCCTGTAACGTTGAAAGTGTATTATTGCAACACAACAAAATCGGAACACAGATAAGCATTGAGGCCACTGATTATACACTAAATTTACTGAAGTCACTGTATGCACTCTGTCCATGGGTTGGATTCTACTGTAGACATGTTTGTTTTGAACGTACGCATACACCTGATCTCGTAGGTGCGCGTCTTACTGCTTACTGCGGCTTGGGCAAAGGCTGCCAAGGCTAGAAAACGATCTTTTGTATTGAAATCTACTCATTTTATCTGAATATTCTGTTAAACCTGCCACCTTCACTGTCCATTAAAGTTTATACAGGTAGAAGCGATTTGTATTTGAGCTGCATATTAGCACACAAATGTGTCAGTGTGCCACTTCAGCACGGTGCACATAAGAAATGGAGCTTAACTGTATGTCACGGTCTTCATGATACAAAAATTCCGTTGTTTCTCTCTAAGCATCTCCGCAGCTACTTGATATGAGCTCACGTTGCGGATTGAAATTCGAAACGAAGCCGTCTACTATCAGTTTTACGGTAGAGTGGGTAAGAGACGTGAACAACACTCTAAGGAAATCCTTATATTGAGGGCACGCTTTTTGCAAGCTTTCTTTTTATTTGTGACAGCTCCCATAAGAAATCATTTGCGAAGCGTTTTTCCTCTTTCACTTCTCTTGATGCTACGCATCACCGATTTTTGATAATTGCTCTTTCAGTTCATAATTTGTAAAAGGGGATAACCAAAAAATCTCGTATGTCCATTCAAATGTTTGAAGTAGTCCTAAGATTGACGAAGAGCATTAGTCCAGGAAAATTTTTGTCGCCTCGCTATACTGACATAGAAAAGTGTGAACCCAGTAATAATAAATATGTTACAGTTATCTTCTAGCTTTATGTTTGTTTAGGTTAGGACAAAAAATGGTCAGCTTTCCAACCATATCATTAAAGTAGTTTTTGAGAAAACATGGAAAGCCTACGACAATGCCAATTGTTTATTGCTGGCTGAACAGTTTTGGACTTTGGACTCAGCTTTCCCCTCATTGCTAGGCACCGAATTGATCGACTGGCTGAACTGGGACTTCGAATGAAATACCATTGTCTGCATGCATAATGGCCATGCAAGGGTGAGAAGGCGACGAGGTGTAAGACGAGATTCTCAATTTAATCTGGAAATGCATGTGCACCACACTGTTGGAATTATAGTATCGGGGCATATTCTTTATACAAGCAAGTCGTCAAAGGCAACATGACCACCAAGTTGATT